TTGTAGATGGTAAATTTCTTAAGAAGATGTATATGTAATATTAAGAAAAGACTTCACGTAGACTCACCTTTTATAGTACCGACAGATTCAGAATCATTTTCTGAGTAGGCTTAAGCTTCGATGTCTACTTGTCCATATGTCTGTATGATATTTGTCCATGCATATTTGTATTCAGTCTACAGTTCGATATCTTTTAAAATGTTACCACGAAATTTAATAAATTGACGTATTTTGACCAAGGGACGAAGCTTATTGAAATTTAATTAAATCGAAACACCTTTGCGGACCTCTTAAAAAAGTCTTCATATGGAAAAAATCTGCAATTTTCAGAAACATCTCCTCACACAAATTGCTAGATAGCAGCACTTCGGCACTATAAATTGATGCAATCAATTTGCATCGGAAGGGCCAATTTTTTGAAACCCTCCTTTGTAACCGTTTCTACAAGAAACTAGGCCGTATATTGCATTGTATAAGATCAAACTTATATTTTATAATAAAAATTGGTTTATAACAGTAAATTTACATAGATACTATCCATGGAAAATTGTAATCACATCCTCCCTTTTTTTAGATCCGTTCCCATATGGGGACGCTCTTCAGAAATATGCGTTTGCATGCGAATAAACTATACTTTGGATATTTTATCATGAAAATAAATCAGAAACTACAATACCCGAAGTAATGTAGAGTAATTAATAATCGAATTTGCCCGAGTATAATGTTTTTACTTATTTTGCACTTGCATTGATTTAATGTAACTTCTTTCAAACCATTATATATGTGCCATCAAGACAACTGTTCCAATTGCCTTGTGGTTACCTTTAATTTGTGCTTATAAATGCAATATCCGAAGCGACTCGAAACATATCTATCTTTCATTATAATAATGTGTTAGGCAGGAAAATTATATGAATGTTGTCGTCTGTTCATGAAAATATCCGGTCAAGTTAAACATCGTATTTTGTGGATGCTTTCCCGTGATCTAGTACGCTGAATTGCTTTCACGGACGGACGGAATCTACTAAAAATAGATTGATTCGGAACATTTTTACGGCTGGTCTCTATATAATGCTTGAGTTTCAATGTGCAAAGGTGGCCAATTTTTTTATTATTTCTCGACAAAAATCGGTGGAAAATATATGTAGAAAATTTCAAAGAGACGAGAGAATCTTTGGAGTATTTTCCCGTAAGAATGCTTTTGTAAAAGAGCAAGACTTTATATGAAAAGGAAGTGTACTTATTGGCGAAATCCTTCTTTTGGAATCCTTCCCACATAAGGGCTTTTGTAAAAAGGCGACAAGTTAGTTCTTTAACCGAAGAAAAGTGTTAAAATTGGATCACGTCGAATCACCTTTTTAGGCTATCCTTCTTTACAAGTCCTTATGACAAGTGGGTCCCTATACAACAACAAGATCTGAAATTTCAGTATTTTATAGCGAAAATTGCTGAACAACTTTATAAGACGGACCGAAACAGATTGTTGAAAATTCGACCTTGCGACAGTCACATAAATATCGTACAATTTTATCTTATCATAAAATAAAATTTCACAACTTTTGCTGTCAATTGCACTTCAAACTGTTCATAAATTAGTATTAAAATTGCCGTGAAATTGTTTCTCTTTTTGTTAGAGTCAATGACAAATTTTGCTGACTGTCAATGATGATGATTACAGTTGATTTAGAGGGCGAGTGCTAATGCAAACGTTTAAGCTGAGACAAAAATTCCATCATCTTTACGAAATGCAACAACATTTAAATAAAACCTTTTATTTTTCTATAATAGTTGACTCAAGAAATTTTTTTCGATGATAATCTCCTCAGAGAGTGTGCTCTGAAAACTATGAGCTAACCTTTTAGTATTAATTTGTTTTGCTCATATCCAAGTGATAAGTGATGAACTCCTTGTATTTATTATCAACTACGAAAATTCTGTATTTTTTATCCCCTTTCAGGATTATCCACCGCAAATGGATTTTACAACACCGCCGCTGCCAATGGCTCATCTACAACCGGTAACGCAGGCGTCAATCATTAGTGGAGCATCACTGGGTAATGGTGGCACCGGTGGCACTTTAAGACGTGGTATTTTGCGTGGTGTTACTGCGGTGCCACCGCCAGATGTTACCCATCATACAACCACCAATATGGGAGGCGTGCAATTGCTGCACGACTTGCATCCAATGAATATCTCAGCTACCTCCTCAACATTAACAACAACCAGCAGCTTGGCAAACGGCAGTCTAATGTCGATACCCTGTTCCACACCAAAGCAACCTCAGAGTATACTTAAGGATCCTAATCGAAATAAGCAGCAGCAACAACAGCAAGCGCAATTACTTAATACTACAGGTCTGGTAGCCATACCTGCTACAGCAGGTAATCTACAATTGCTGAATATACCCACCTCAGCGGGCATTGGCAATAGTTTGCTAATGACTGCCAGTGCATCATACGATCCGACGAATCCACATAGTTTAACCACCTTTAATGCGGCCGGCTCAGCAGTGGCGTATACAGACGCGGATGGTCATCTCGTATAGCTATAGGATGCCTCAATAGGGGCCCTTATAGCAACAACAATACTGGGCAGCAACCCACCTCGCTACTAAATACAAAAAAAAAAAACTATATTATAAGGCCGTGCCAATAAGTAAAAAGTCAACAACAACAACAAGAACAAGAACCACAGCCACATCAATGAAAAGTAATAATTGCATCTAAGCTTAGACAGGTAATTAATTAAGTATGATGAAGAAATAACACTTCAAAGTTTTTTTTGTTGTTTTTCATTATAAAAAAAAATAATTCATTTTTCTTAAAACGTGAAATATAATAAACCGTAATTTAAAGCGTAACCGTAAACACTAACAACTTACAAATTAGTTTTAATCTACTTGTACATTATACGCCCTAATGGTATGGCTATGGCTACGTGGTAGGCAGAGCACTGTCAAGACAAAGGTAGTAGCGTTTTACTAATAAGAAAAGGAAGTCTACTTATTATCATTGTTACAATATACAGTCCTATAAGGCTAAGCCAAAAAAAAAAAAAAAAAAGTAACCAACAAAAAACAAGAAATAATGGCAAACAACAAAGATTTATGCATTTTCTAGTCGCACTAACAACGCTACAACAAGCCCAGCCCAATGCTCCTCTGCCACTCTTGATAAAAAGAAACAGCATCTGAAATATTAGTGCGTGTAACAAATAAATTTTATTCATAAAATAACAACAAGAACAACAACAACAACAACAACAACAAACATGTAAATTATTCTCAAAGCTGTAACATAAACATTTTAGCTTGACAATGAATGAAAAAAAAAAATGTAAATTTTTATTTGAAAGAAAGCGAAAAACAACAATAGCAACAGAAACACTTTTTTAACACTAATTGGATTGTAACAACACCGAATAGCAACAGCGTTGCTAACATCAACAATAAAAATAATAGGAAAACAAAGACAACCAGCTAGCGAGCTGTAGCGAGTAGCAGTGGAAACATGTTACAAAACATGACACTGTAATGACAATGCCAACAACAACAAAAACGACTAGTACTTGAAATTGATCTCAACGGTATTATTTGGTTTGAATTTTAAGCACTGGTGCACACAAAAAACGCTAAAGCACCATCATAAGGCCCAGCATAAAACAAAAGTGTGCTAAAAGTGTTTCTCAAACACTAAAAAAAAAAAAAAAAGCCAGAGCGAAGCGCATAGCAGCATAAGCGATAAACTTATATTTGAAATTTAATTTTCATCCTTTTTGTTTTACTAAATGCTTCCTTTAGACATCTTGAAAAGGTTTTGCTACAAATTTCAACGCTACTCTGCGCACACATTTCATATTTCCGCTTAATAACCTCAACGACGACAACAAAAGCAGCAATTGCGTTGAACGATACCTTTTTAACTGAACGTGAACTACAATTAGAAATGTAATCATAGAATTGCGAACGTATTTGCATAATTCACCTACAGCTATACATGCATGCCCATACAACTATATATATATACTACGTATGTACAATAGGAAACCATAATAACACGCTTGGATGACCAAAGTCAAGTATTAATGTTGAAAAAACAACAATAACAACAACAACAAGAACAACAATAACAAATGAAAAACCCCCCCAACAAATGTTTGATTGAAGCAATTAATTTATACATCGTTTACCTTTACGCTTTCATAATTTTTAGAAAGAAAAAAAAAGAAACGCGAGACTTTCTTTTGTGTCATAGTACGCTCGCTGCCTTTTACCCTTAAGTTATAATATGTTTGTGGGTTAAGTTTAGCATTACGACGCATAAGATTGACATTAGAAAGTAGAAATAAGACCTTTACTAAAATGACCCACTTACCTTTTGACGTTTCAAGGCCGATCAATGAATACAAATACTTGTCTTTATCTCTCTCTCTCTTTCTTTCTCACTTTCCAAAACGTTTACTGTCAAAGAATTGTTGCCGTTGAAACGCGTCTTAAATATTTAACATTACGACTACTAAGACCTAGAAAACGAGTTTTAATTTTTTTATATATATATATATATAAGGTGTTTAGTAAATCCGTGATAAAAATTTAGTTTGGGTAATCCAATCATTAAATCCAATCAAAATTATCTTTGCCAAAACAGAGTCATATTCCGATTTGGGAGTTTTGACACTACCTTCGTTTTTGGAAAACCAAGTGTTTTTCTCTTAGAAATCCAAAATTTCCACATCTTACTAACTCAGCTGCTGTACACTGTAGAAATACACCATGAATGGAAGGTTTCGAAATTTAATGAAAAAAAGTTATGGGCAGTTTAAAAAAATTCATTTTCCTACATAGACTCAATGCAAACACACAAGCAATTGGAAATTATCTCTGCTTTTCATTTTTATTTACTAATCAACAAACCTTATGCTATAGCATACCTATTACCTTTTGCAAACCCAACGGAATATTAATCAAATCGAACACGTGTTTGAACAAACTTAAAAAATATAATCCAAAGGAAGATCTCGTCGAAACAGAAACGCTACGCAGATGCTTGAGCATAGTAAATGATTCTGCAGTCAGCAAAATGAAATTTAAGCTACATTTGAAAACAAACTTTAGACATTTTCAAAATCATTTCGTTTTCTTCAGCACAGCTTTGCCTGTCTTGCAAAACAAACTTGAATTGCGATTGAAAACAAAATCAAGTCCGGCTAAGCTAATAATTATGCCAAATAATCATCTTAGGTAACTTCAAAATAATATCTATTCTTCAAATCAATATATACACATCTTCATAGCTGAACGCTATCTGTTTACAAAACCATGGCTTTGCTTTTGCATAGCTTATCGGATTATTTTATGAAATAATCTATCTTGACTTTATGTGTTTACTATACGTCAGCGTTATTGCCAGCATGGTGTTGAAGTGATTAATAAGACAATTCTGATTTTGTACGAGATAAAGGAAAGGTTCACGCAAAAGAAGAAAATCTCTATTCTTTTCAAAACTTTCTGCAAGTCTTCGCCATCTAATCGGTATTAGGACGAAGAACATGCCTGAGAAATTAGGTTTCGTTGCCACTCTTAGGAAAATGCATTTATCCTGATCACGAAACACAATTTCCCTGGATATGTAAGAGAATCTATATCCGAAAATGCTAAGGTGACGCAAGCTATACAAACTCCAATTTATTGCGAAAATTAAAAAAAAAACAAGTTTCTTTAAACCTTTAAAAGATTCGATCTATATTTACTTGGATTTCGAAGAGAATTGGATTCTAATCAACATTATCGCGTGATCTGATCATAAATCAAGCAGGGAGCTACTTTTACTTGAAAACATCAGTGTAGTGTAGGTTTATGTGTGTTTATGTTTAATCATAATTATAAATAAAATTTTTGTGATGAACTTGGAAAAACTTTTTGAAAGGCCTATGCTCTAGACATGAATTTTCAAAATTTGTCAAGAAAAGTTTACTACCCTTTCATTGTCAGATTTATTACGTTTTAAATTCTTACTCTTTCGTGCTATCTTTAACTTCCTAGAAAATTAAATATTGTAAGCCTTAACTAAAATGCGTTTAATGCAAAGCTTGTTTTAATCAAAATATTTTTTTCTTCGATCAACCTTAACATTAATTATATGACAAATAAATTGTTCTTCAATATCCTTAAGAAACTGTCACATTTATACGCTTTAACACACACACACACACACATATAGAAATTTCATAAGCACCTTGACTTAAAATTCCCCCTTTTATAATTACATCCCCCTCATCATGTCGCAAAAAGTCTTCCACACGCATAAAAAAGTTAAGTTGCAGGAGGGTTTAAAATAAAATTATGTTGCTATGAAGTTTTCATATCAATTTGTTCATACTTAATACAATGTCATAAATCTACCTACAAAAGAGCGTATAGAGAAATACGCAACGTTAATGGAGGAATCCTTATGGTTGAGTTAAAACTCAAGCTTGTGTATGACTACACACGTGCATCTTTCAAAGCGAAAACGGGAAACCATAAAAGATAACTAATATTAAGTTTACAACGAACTCTATACACCTCTCTCAGGATGCAGTGAAGAAGAACGCCAATTTCCACAAGAGTGCTAAAGTGAAGAAAATATCCTTTTTAATCTTTCGAGAGGCAGAGAGTATCCTTGTTTGAGAAGCGAAGAGACAAAACTTTTTAATTTGCTAAATATAACGATGTTAGGAGGATTAAAAATGCTCCGAGGTTAATGGGAATGATAGGTAGACTTTTGACAATTTCATAAATGATATACTTGTGGACCTTGTGTTCACTAAAAAACGAATTGTTTTTAGAAATTTTTAACAGAAAGTATGCGAAAAATACGAAGATTTATTAATCTTTCAAATTTTACATATGAACGTAAAAGTCTTGCAAAGTGCTCAAATGAAAAAGTGTTTTTTCAATTTTTATAGAAAAAAAATGGGCACATGACCGCTTGCACGCAATAGTCTGCTTTTCTTTCTCTTTGCTTGACCTCGTTTACGGTGACCCTTCAGATCACAATTTTGCATCTGGAACAAGAAAAATTTGTTGATAATATAATGGAAGAACTATTGAGCATTGAAGAAAGCAATTTGATCATCAGCATTTGAGATAACCCTTACATTTCAATTTGAATCAGAAAGAAAAAGAACCGAAGACTGGAATATAAAGCTGTTACCACTAAGGGTTACTCCACACAGCATTTGACAGGTAGGCCTTAATTAGAACTGAATCACTTTGTTCATTACCGATTTAAATTAATCTCGCTGAACACAAAAGTAGTTGAACTAGTGCACCAACGGAGGAGAAACAGAAACTTCACAGATAATCTATGTAAGGATTAGTTTGACACATGCAATAGGTCGACGTCTTGCTTAGAAAAAAATCATGATAATAAGTATACTAATCTTATCATGTATTTCTATTTTAAATTATGTCTCCCCACGTTGCTCTAAAACAGATGGCCAATCGCGCATTCATAAACCTCTCTACTCGTCTCAAGGAATACCATCACTTTAGCGGCCTGAAGAACAAAAGTTTTTTCTAGGAAAATATTAAAAAATCGCGAGATATCATTAATGGAAGGCGCTATGCTCTATAGTCCCTTTAAGATAG